TTGCCATCAGTTATCTCCCTTTCTCACAGCTGCAACAGAAACAGGACATAAAGCACACAAATACATTTAAAATGTGAGATCTAAAAAGTTGGTGAACAGCAATGTTCTTGTAAAACACCCTTAGTTGATGAATGAGCTTGTAAAATGTACACCCCATATATTTTTTTAGTACAGTATTCAAGCCTTTAATTTTAAATTTGTAAGCTTAATTACATTTGATTTCAAACCTTCCAGCATTCAGTGTCGTACTATATTTAAATGTGTAAGCCACTTCACACTTGCTCCCAATATACATAAAACCAACACAGTCTAAAGAAATTATGAAAACCCACTTGAAACAAGCAATTTAACCTCCTACAGAATGTAACTTCTTTTGCATTTTCATTAAATTTGTATATAAAATAATTTGGGTTATCACAAACTGTTAAGTTCAGGTAAAACTGAAGTGGATCTGACTTTCGAGTGAACCACGATTTCTTCCCAGTTACACATCCTCTCTGCCAGACTAAAATTCGAGATAACATATTTCTATAAACTTTGTTTGCTTCATACTCTGCCCGTTAAAAACCATTACGCTAACCATAGAGATAACTGAAGTGCTTGATTTAAAAGGTATAGAAGTTACATTATCCCAAGAAAGGACTGGATTTTTCTGTTTGTTTCTGTGTAACCCTGGTCATTACTGTACTAAAATGAATACTGTTTCAGCTTTCAACTTCTCTGCATATTAGCTTTAAAAGAATATTACAGGAGATTTCCATAAAATAAGCTGTGGACAGATGCCATATACAGCTGATGCATCATGGCCTTCCACTCTACTGAAATTTGTTGACTTTTTTTTTTATGCCAAAAGATGAAACAAAAGACTTAGGATTTTCTTAAATGTGCTCACAATCCTAATTTTTTAATTTTTCCATCCAATTTTTAAAAAGTGTTGAAAAATAAGGAGCTAACTTAACTGTTTTGATAAGCCTCAGTCTCACACACATTCTTAATATTATATAAACTGTGTTTTGCGTATCTATGCTGAGTGCACTTTAAAAAGTACCTTTGTTGAAATACTTTCAACAGGTCTTTATAGCACCATATAATCTGTTGCTTAACTGCTTAGAATCAGACTGTGTGCCACTGCTTCTCAAGTAAAATGATTACATTTTTATTTCCTCTAGCGTTCTTAAAAAAAGTAGAAAAAGTTTGTTATCCAACTGAATGCATGTAAAAATGAATTACTAGATACTCCATTGTCACTTATTCTAGCTCTGTGAAACCTATCAATGAATTGCTACATGATTCTTCTGGAATGGCACAGTTTAATTCAGTGGCAGAAAAATATCACAGACACACTGAATGAAAACGTCTCTTATCCTTCATTGAATTTTGGAAGTCTCTTTTTGCAAAATTTGATGCTGCCTCTCCTATTATAGCTCCTTTTCAATTCATAATAGAGAAAAAAAAATCAGTGACAAACACAAGAGTGCTGGCAAAGCCATAGTACAACACAACAGGAATAGCGAGTGGACGAGGAAGCAAGAGGAAACCAACGTACCTGGAACGAACCAGAAATACATTAAAAGCAAGAGAGCCCGACAGCAAATTTTACATTCTTTCAATACTTAGATTGGTCTGTTTTCAAGGCCAGCTAAATTCAGAATTTATTCAGAATTTATTCAGAATTAAACGAATACACAATGTGATTAAACATGAAGTCCATGAACCATTCATGCACTAATAAAAAGCTGCCGTTGCTTTTTCACATGTAAAGCTGAAGCAAGTATGCCAGAATGGCATGTGGTTGAAATGAAAGTAATGCTGGTACTTCACCATTTTTGATAATTTTTACCTACAACAGTCAAAGTCAGGGACCATCTACTCAATGTTGTAAGAGGCTTGTTTTCCAAATATGAGTTCCAGTAAATGAAAGTACAAATGAGATCAGTTTGAATGCATTATGAAGACTTTTAAACTGCATATTTCTGAAGAAAGCGGTCAAATGCATCATAAATCGCTTGTCTAAAATAAACAAAAAAAGATTATTTGTATAATTTGGGAAAGGGCAGATATAAGTGACTTATTTCCATGTATTTACAAAGCTATCATAATTTCAAAACGGTGTTCAATAAAAATGTGATATTAGGCATTCTTTTCTCCGTATTTCTGGGATGTCTAGCTTCAATCCAGTAATTTACGCTTCAGAAATGAGTGGGACTATTTACCAACTTCAATACAAGTGCAAATGTTAATGGATCAGGAGTTTTCTACTCAAACATGTCAGGAAATGGGTCAGAGAGACATGCATAATCTTTAATTTTTGAGCCATTGTCATAACATCAAGTAAGGCTGAAGTTTTAAATAGCAATATGCTAGTGGTTAGCATACCTTGACCCAACATATTGCTATTCCTTTTTGTTGCTTAGACTTCCTAAATGGGATGTAAACTCTTCATAATTCCTTATGTTTTAAAACTAACAGCACAAGTATTTAACTAAGGAGCTGCATTTATATAACTGATTTATATAACTGTCTTCAGAAAGTCAGCACCTAGAGTTACTAAGCCAAGAATTCATGCAAGTACTACTCATCTGCAGTCAAGCTTATTTTAATTTTTATCTTCATTTATGTGTTTTTTGAATTCTCGGAAGTCAACATTTGCAAAAAGACAACAGCTGCATAATACAACATAAGCAGTCACTGCCTAAGAAATACTTTCTAGTGTCCAGTGAACAAACTAAGTAAAAGCTTTTAGAGGAAAAGAGGAGTGAGAAGGACAATTCTCTTGCTATTGGCTTACTGAACTATCTGAGCAATGTTGTGCCTCAGCTTTGCTCATAAAATGGAAATGCTGACATTCTTTTTAAATTAATTGAGATCAGATAACAAATACTGCTTTGAAAAGCGAGTTATTTGTCGCTTTGGAGTAATTATAGACTTGCTTTTAGAAGAAAAATTACATGTCTCAAAATTATGATTTTAAGTTCTCAGTTTTTTTAAACTTTCCTGTATACCTTACCTAAAGAGTCCCTGTTTGAAGAGGTAGGCACTGACATGACCTCCATTCAGATACCTAATTTCACATCCAGGCCAGATTTCCTGAAGACTGCGAACCCCAGTTCGAGGAATATATGCATCCTCCTTAGCTTGTACAACTATGATTAAACTTGGGTCAACTGGAACTAAAGGAAAAACAAATAAAAATGGAATTCATCTGAGGTAAAAAATAGAAACACTTCAGCTGAGATTTCTGTTGTAAAGATGCGCTCTGTTGCTAAATAAATTTAAATTATTCTAAGCTTTAATAAAATTGTGTTTTCTAAATTCTCAAGTAGAATTTATTTTGACATTACAGTAGTGAGGCCATCGGTAGAAAAACCAAACTAATCAATTCCCTTCCCTTCCTTAAAACAGAAAACTTCACAGGTCTTTGAGGAATGACAGGAGCATTGCTTTTCCTCTTATCAACAAAGCTGTATAACATTCAGGTCAGTTCTCCCAGATTTTTATTTTTTTTTTTAAATCAGTGAAAAGAACTAGGAGACATTTGAAATTCATCAGAGTAGAAGGTTTGTATATGTTTTTTCCTCATGGGGAGGAAAAAAGACAACTTTTAATGAGAGGTCAGACAGAAACTGCAGTGTATATTCATTTTCTTTTCTGATTCTTACATGTTTTAGTTACAACATAAAAATCCCAACATATGGTTACATATACTTACTACTCATAAACAGAATTGCACCCATCTGATTAGTAAGAGGAATAACACCAAAATGATACTGAAAAGTAGCATCAGAATTATAATGAGCACGGAACAGTTCTCTCTTCACAAAGAATGTGGTATAGTAAATAGGGACCAGCCAAAATATTTGAAAATGAGGTGTGACATATAATTAGGATCTTCTCCTTTCATACATATTAGATCATGTACATGCAATGCTAAGATATATTCTAGTCTTACATTCAATTTTCCATAAAATCTTAATGCTAGGCAGATTTTCTGAACCTCCTCTCTAGACGCACTCCAAGGGTACCCTGAGAGGGGATGCAAGGTCTCCCAGAGCATGAAGAGACCTGGGAGACAATTAATATGAAGGACTACATCACACTGACAAGTGCATTAGGATTACAGATCCTCTTAAGTTTCAAGAAAAGTCAATGCTGTAGCAAAGTGATACCTGGATAAGTGTTGAAATAAACAAGAATGTACTCAGAATAAAGTTTGCAGGCTTTTTTCCCGTCTACAGAAATAACTTCTAAAGCATTAAGGAAGGCACTTCTCTGTTATTTGCCAAGAAACTCCCCTGGCTAGCAGTGATCGAAGACATTTTCAAAGTCAAGAGGTCTATGCTAGTGTAGAAATCTTTAGATTTTTTTTTTTAATCATTTACAAGTGGACCACTGAATGCCTGAATTCAAACCCGAGATGGCACAGGGTCTCAGTAACAATACTGTTTTTGACATTCAAAGACAACTCTGTCAGAAAGCTATCTGCAGTCAAAGTATGTTCTACAACATGTTGAGAGTCCTCAGCAGGTATATCCACAGTTCATTTTGTCTGAATGGACTTCCACAAAAGCAATTCCAAACCCTCACTGTAGCAAAACCCCTTCAATCAGATCCAGGGACAAATTACTTGTTTGCCTTGCCTCCAAGTGGGCCGTTGAAAGGGATTTGTTTGAGGCACCAAGAAACCCAAGTTCACCAGATTTGAGGCTTCCTCTATATGCTATGCCTGTTTTGGAAAACTAGACTGCACCAGATTACATTGTCCCAGAAAGTCCTCTGTGTATTTTTACTGGTCACACTCGTCTAAAAGCATCATTCAAGCTTGGTTCTCAGTTATGTATGTTACTTTCTATCTGAAAATACTACTCACATCACACAGATGTTTTGTTCTTTTAAATAATACAAATAAATAACTCACATCTGAAAGTAGCCACAATAAGGGCAGAGAAAAAATGAGCAAAGATACTGAAAGGCAAATTTTTAATTCCCTTTATCATCAGTTGGCCACTAAGAAGAAACAAAAACAATTAGGAAATGGAGTGGTAAATATACGCTACTGAATAACACTCAAGATAATTTCATATTTCAGCTAAGATGCCAGTAAGTTTACACAATGGAGAATGAAGGTAAGGTATTTTATTCAGTTTTCCAAACTACACATTAAAACAAATAAATACATACCTGAGAAGTTAGCTACATGGGTGCATTCATCCATTACTCCTTTCATGAACCTTAATGACTCTCTTTGTAAGGTGTCACTCTTTCTTCTTCTATTTATCCAGTGTCCCTGTTGGCTATTTAAGTTTTTACTGCTATTGCTACTGGTTGAAAATCTTTGATTTATGCACTGCATTTTAGAGGCATCTTGTATTAAAAGTTGTTCTGAGGAGGCACTTAGAGCACTTTCATTTGTGGTAAAGCTGTGAACAGCTTCTTTATCAGTCTCATTTGAGGAACCAAGGCTGAACATTCTGGAAGTCACATCCACATCTTCCAGACTGTCTACACCGTCAGGGAAGTTTTTAACAAAGTCTTGTCCCATCTTGAAAGAATCCGTCTAAACAAAGAGAACAGGTCACTTATTAGGGGTTTCTCCTTTAAACCAGTTGGTTAATTTATTTTTAAGATCAACTCAATATTTTAAAAAAAAAAAGAGAAAAAAAAAGAAAAAGAAAAAAGATACAAACAACACTGTTCACAGTACTTGTTATTTTCAGCCTGCATGTGACTCAGTTAATCCTGATCATCATAACCTCTTGATAATTTAATTCTACATCTCTCTCAGCTTAAAAAATGCAGTGCTTATATATGGTAGTTTATGATACAGGAGTTTGTCTGGTTTTAATTCTATATTAAACTTTGAATTTATAATTGTGGTCATATAAGCTTAAATTTCTGAGCAAATAACTCAATAAAGCTATGCATTTCTCAAATTTTTTCCACTCGCAAAAGAGCAGTAATGTTCTTTGGCAAAGTATTAAAAAATAAACATTTATAGCAGTTTTTCAAAGCATGATGAAAGATAGGCAATAGCAATAAACATATATGACCAGGTTTAATGTTAGGTTTAGGACTGAAAAATCTACTGCCTCTAAATACTACGAAGACACAAGCTGAATGTCTTGAAATGTTTCTTCTTTTAATTTTGCCTGCTCCATCAGTGTTCCTGGAACGTATCTTACTTAAAAATACCAAGTGCCTAAGTAACTATCTTTGCCCCAGCCCTTCTTCTCCTGTCATAAGATATTTGAAAAAGGACTGTCACAAAGCAAAGAATCTTAGGAAAAAAGTTATTTATTAGAATTGGCTAGAAGACAGCATTGCAACAAACAATTCTCAAACAGTTATCACTCCAATCTAGAAGAAAACTGAGGCAACAAAATTCTCCTAGGGAAAAGTCTCTCAACCTTAGTCAAAAAAAAAATCAAAAAGAAAGCAAAAAAAATATGCAGACAATAAATTACATTTCATAGAGAGCAAGAAGCTAATTACAAAAGCTCTACCTCATGTTTATCCCAGCTGCCTGTGCAATGAATGTCTAAAGCTGAGGGAGGGCTAGCATCACACATGGAAACAGTAGTAAGCAAACTAGAAAAGCAATTTAATGTTGCTACATATTAAAAATATTCTACAGAATTGAATATTTGGAAGTAATTGCTCCAAAGGACAACAAATCATGTTTTTATATTTATACGCCAGGCTACTGGCTTTCCAGAATATAAAGCCAGATACTGGGAAACATTATACACAGTTTTGATGTTTTGAATATATTCAGCAGATTACACTAAGTTTGGTCATGGACAAAAACATGTAGTAAGGGCTATACTTAACACACATTATACAACCAAAATATTAACTTCTGTTTTTCAGAGGGTTTTCCTTCCAAATTTATCAAAAGCGTAAGGAAACAACAAGCAATCATTTTAGCTAACAATTGGCTACTTCTACTGGAAGTAAAAAGAAGTTACATTATTTGCTAGACTTGTATATGTAAATATTAGCAAATAGGAAAAAATAAAATATACTTACTCCACAGTATTCAAGCATTTGAATGATTTCTTCTTCATAAACAGTTTGCGTAAAATACTGTTTCTCTAGCTCTCTCCAGTTCACTGCCTTGCTCAACACACCCTGAGATTATAAACACAAGCATCCAGTACACAGTAAAACCCAGAAATAATTCTAAAATAACAACATATAGAGGAAATTTATCTGTCCTTCTTTGTGACTTCATTTTTCTAGTGGACTTCTGCCCAAGTTCCCAGATAACCCTTACAATTATTGGAATCAATGCATAAGCACATATTATAACATAGGGCACAGAAATCCACTTCCCTTTAAAAACACATACAACAACAAAGTGAAAAAAGAGCAGAACACAGTCTCACTTAGGGTTTACACATATCAAGACTCAGGTAAACCAATGATGGGTGTCAAAGCCATTCTCCATTTGATAGCCAATGATAGGACAAGGGGCAATGGGTACAAGCTGGAGTGTAGGAAGCTCCATGTGAACATAAGAAGAAACATTTTTACTGTGAGGGTGCCAGAGCACTGGAACAGGCTGCCCAGAGAGGCTGTGGAGTCTCCTTCTCTGGAGACATTCAAAACCCACCTGGGCGCGTTCCTGTGCGACCTAGTCCAGGTGACCCTGCTCTGGCAGGGAAGTTGGACTGGATGATCTTCAGAGGTCCCTTCCAACTCCTAACATTCTGTGATACCTCATTCACCTACCCCAGCAGCAGTAGTGAAAACAGGTACCCCTCACGGCAGTAGCAGCATTATCACACAACTATTTAAGTCAAGCTTTGACCAGAAGAACATGTGTTTTTATGACTTGCTTCCTCACCTTCCTACATTCAGACCAGGACTCTAATCACTGTCCCACAAACCAACCTCAGCTCCTAATTAATACACGGCCCACTGAAGTAGCTCCAAAATACCCTCCTTATCATGTGCCATATATCCTCAGCAGGCAGGGTGGGTTTTGTCACTAATAGAGGCCCAAGGGTGATGAAATGCTCTAACTGAAAAGGTGAATGTGGCCAACCCAAAGCCTTTAACGTACATATCTGATTACATTATAGTGTATTAACAAAAATACGTTAATTACCGTAGTAAAGACTGCAGAAGCTGTTGACCAGGAAAGACATGGAATCAATGGTAATGGTTTAGGCCAGTTTGTCACTGCCAGTGAAGCCATCTAGAATGAAATGCACTTATTACATATTTTAATATTCAATTCACAAGATGGTAAAAAGAACTCTCTCACCTTCAATTTACTTGTTTATACAGTATCAAGCAAATACACAGTGCCAGAGCAGTTAACAACTGTGACAGTTGGATATACTTTCACATATTTAGAAGATACAGCCTATTCTTCAGTCATTTCCCTTAACAGTAAATATTGTTCTGGACTAATTTCAAGGCTGAATGGATTTTAGTTGTTTAAATCCATGAAAAACATCTATAAAGTCTTTTCATCAAGCTCTTGCAAGCTTATTTCAAGACAAAATGAAGGCAATCTACAAGAAGGACTATTTGAAATCCTATACTTTTTCAATTTGTATATTGGAAACAAAATGTGGTGAAGTAATTCAGCATGTTGAATGGACTCTTCTGTCCTTTAAAGTTCAAATTATTACTTCAGTTTTCAGAACATATTTTCATTAATATCATGTTTATCCTAAGGCAAAAAAACACACAAAAAAACCAACAAAACAAAGCAAAGAAACTCAACATACAGAACTTCCCTATGTTCTTGCCAACTTCTATTTTATTGCTCTGTATGGAACAATGGTGTAAATTCCCCAAAACAAAATACCCCATGTCTGTGCCAGATGTTCTAATAAATGGATTATGAAAAAAAGAACTATAATTCTACTATAATTATTTTTTATTAACAAAAAGTGGCAAGAATACCACATATTCACATTCCGATAGCCTGAAAGACTGACTTCTTTCTTCTTAGTTCCAGCTCTCCTCATCAGTAGAACTGAATTAATGCTACCTACCTTCTGTTGTAAAACACATTCTGAAGATGATCAACATAAAATATTATTTATTGTCCTGGTTTTAAATTGTACCAGAACTCCTATAAGTCAGGACTAGCCAGAAATGTATCTTTCTGGTCTAAGAAAAAAAAGTTTCAAAGGAGTTTCCAATTTCACTCAGATCTTGCCTCCTCCTATATCCATGCCGTGTATGACCATTGGTATGGGACACAGTACTGAGTTACTCCCATAGCTTTTGCACAGCATTTGCAGTGACCTGCATGGTTACTGGTGCATATACCAGTTTGAGAACTCTAATCCAACTTAAAATAAGACAGAGAAGTTATGTTTAACACAGAAGTTTTTTCAGCAAGGTGATGTTTGTGGAAATTGAAGGTGCTTTGTACATTTACATTTAGAGTTATAAAATTGTGCTTTAGGGGAAAATTATTTTCTTTTCAGTAGACACCACCATTACCAACATTATTTGCTTAGCTCCTAACAACAAACGAACAAGGATCAACAAAACTAAGCTATGTTGTTTTAATAAGCTCTGTACCTATGTCTCACAGATCAATGGCTATCTGTAGAGACACAAGCAGCAATATTTTAACTTTGTGTTAGTCTTTCAAGCATCTTACTAAAACACTGCTGTTTAGGTTTGAATACGTAGTGTCATACACAAAATGTTATCCACCTCACCACAGAAATCTTCTCTAATCAATACCAATGATTGAAAAAAGATGAGAACTGAACTGACACCAAAAGTCATCTCAATTGCAATATGCTTAGAGTAAGCATTTTGTACAGTGCATATGAACACAAAAGTTAACCAAGAACAATGAAGTAAAAGAAGGAGAACTAGCAATTAATCAGTACACAACTTCTTTCAGAAAAGATTTCTCCCCCTGCTTCTTGTGGAAAAAAAAAAGTGTAATTATATGAGAAGTTTATATTCTTAGTAAGCCTGTCAGGAGATGGCTGACAAAGGGCTCTACGATTTATCAGTACTTATTGAGTATTATACTAATTCAGCACCACATAACATGAAAATTGCCAACAATTTGTTTCTCATGACTCTAAATGTTCAATTTAAAGTACTTCTCAGAGGAACACCATAAAACAAATTATTTCTGCATGCTCAATGATCAAACGAGACGTTAAAACAAAAATTACTGAACAGGAAACATAAAAGCTTACATGTCCTCCCATGGATATTCCAGTCATCCCTAGTGGTCCATAGCCTTCTCTCTCTAGCCAGTGCAAAAGAGCTGCTGATTCTAGAACAAGAGCTCCTCCCATCACAAACAGGTCCGAGACATTTTTTAAACATGACCGTCTTTTCTCGCCAGAAAAGGAAAACACAGGATTTATTTTCCAAGATTAGGTTTTGACAGTTCTCATCATTCTATACGTACTTTCATACAAAGGCTTCACATTCCCAAGAATTTTGGAGCTGAACTCCTGTTGATTCAACAGGAGAAAAAAGCAAGTCTGGATTCTCTGACCTTTGTACTTTTTCATCTAAATCAGGACTAGAAATAGACACCTGCTAAATTTCTAATGTAATATCACTGATGGCCTAGTCTTCAAGAAAGAGGTACTACCAACATTAGAATCTCATTAGTAGTAATCTCCTGTCCTCAAAATTAATAACAGATCTTTTAAAAATAGAATAAAAGTGATACAGTACTAGAGATACACAATATTTCATTTGCAAAAACAATCCTTTTTTTCCTTTTCTTTTTTTTTCCCCTTTTTTTTTAATTATTTACCTGTTTTACATCACTGAAAAATTGCACAAAATATTTGAAGAGCAATCAGTACATCTGTTTTGGAAGCACTCATCAGTGTCACTGTAAGACTGAAACTGCAGAGTGGGAAGTTTGTGACGGTACTGAGAAATTCATATAGTGTACTGCAAAGTATTAAACAGAAGAAAAAATAAAGTAGAAAGCTATTCAGCTGGACCATCAGAGGAAATCTCAAAAAGTTTTTAAAAAATAAAGTATTTTACAAAGCAATTAATACACCTCTAATTTGGGGAAAGGGGCTGTGTTTTTTCAGTATCACAGAGTCAGGTTACAAAGGGCTACTGTCCTCTTCTGCCAGCACACAATCACATTTGAGACACCTTGAAGCACAAGGACAAAGCTTACTGTGCATGTCACAAGAGAAAAAACACCAGCTGCTGCAGAGCAGTATTTACAGGCTAATGCAATTCTTTCCTACAGCTTTGTTATGAGAGTTTCCTCAGCTCTCTCCAGCTGCTTTATTTATTAAACACTGTTACTAGAATATTAACTAAAACCACTGCTGCTGCTTTGTAACTTTGAATTGAAGAACAACAATTACTGGTTGGGGTATTAGACTGAGCACCACCTTTTCAAAAAACCCTTCTATACATCATGCATATACTAAGTTCTCAAGCTAAACAACTGACAGTGGAGTTAGAAATATCCACGCCAAATTATTTAATTTATTCTTCTGCATCAGTTTGCCAATAACTGGAAAAAACTCATCAGTGGATGTATTTCAGCACACACTGTCCTGTCACTTTCCTATAATATTACACTTCTAAATGCAATAATAATATATACATATGTACGTTTAGGCAGTTTCCTTCTTTTTAAAAAAGTGGTTCTTCTGTAAAAATAAATAAAATTCAGCATCTGCTTTAAAAAAAATAGAAACTATTTTTTTAATTAAAATTTTCGCCTTATGGGCAATTTTTTAAAGCTTTTTTATTTAGGAAATACAAAAGCTGAAATCGAAATAAAATCTAGAAAATCTAAAATATTGTTGTGTGGGACACTGCTCCTGAAGTCCTAATATGGACAGGTTTGAAGAATTTCAGCTTTAAAATATAAATCACCTTCTATGAGTCTTCTACTCATGTTAAATGTCTGAGGTAGAATTAAAAAGGATTAAAACACCAACTCATATTTGGACTTTAATAAATATTGGTAGACTAAAACCACAGCTTTGCCTCAGACACATATCCTGTTGAATTCCGTTTATACTCCAGCAGTTCAGAAAATGTAAAAAGCAAAAAAACCCAGTACTGCCTAATTAGGCTTCTAAATTCACATGTAAGAAACTGACTGAGGGAGCCAAGTGTTGTAAAATACTGAATAGTTTCCACTGACAAACAAACAAGCAACACCAAATGTATTGACCTGTCTGACTGTGGTCCCCTTAAAAATATCTTGGAAAAGCAAAATCTTAGCAGTACCGGCAGGAAAATACACTATCTGCGCAAAGATTATTCACAGTTGACTGAGATGCAATTGTAGCATTTGTACATGCAGAGCTGTGAATTGGAAAATAAATTGATACTTGCTTGCATTCACACCCATCTCACTCTATACTGCAAGCTCATCTTAGGCAAACTTTCCTGGTCACTGTGGTCTTGTAACACAAAAAAAGATGGCAAAGCAGTCCAGCAAAAGGAAGACAATTTCACATTAGCAGGTTACAAGTGGTCCATGCTTGGGATTTTTTTTCTTACTAAGCTATTAAGGTTTTTAATACTTTGAGCCTCTTGAAAAAAAAAAAAGTGTGGCATTTCAAAAAGAGTGTCCATGAATGTAACAGAAATACTTACAATTGATCCTTGGGTTTTCTACAGCCATGTAGAAATCTCAAGTTAAAGAAAGTATAAACATTGACAAAATAGAAAATAAAGCAAATGAAATTAAATAAATCACATAAATAGCATTGATTAAATTAAATTTGGAACTTAAAATCCAAATATTTATCTGGAGCTAAATCAGTTAAATGTAGCTTGATGATGTAGTTTGCAACACAGGATTTTACTTTTGTCAGGTATATGGGTAGAAAAAAAGTGTAACCAGAGATCCTATTTAACAAAACAGGATAACAGTGTTACAGAAGTTACTAAGAAGTTGATGACAGGACAGAACTTAACCTTTTTTTTAAAAAAACAAAACAAAACAAAACAAAAAAACAAGTCTTAAATGGCATCAGTAAATTTCTCAAAAATACCTGAGGTACCAAAAGGTTGCATTTGTGAAGGGAAGGCAGGAGAGGCAACTTTCTTTTCTGTCATTAATACATTTAAAAGTCACAGAGTGTGATATAAAATGAATGCATAGTTTTCACTCTGCCACAGTTGGATGGATCATATCAGGAATTTGATCAGCACAGATTCACATCAGAATTTTTACTCTCATGACTACAGTAAGAAGTTGTAGCAGACATTTTCAAAAGAATCAGAAAAGCAATACTTGATGTAAAAGTAGCACATTATATTAACTGTGTTCCACATCGTGTTTCACACAATGGTCACACTAAGCTCTTTGCTTCTATCCACCGAAAAAGTCCACTGGAAATTGATCCACAAAGCAGACATTACACCAGTGTGATAAGACTTCTACCTTCTGGACATAATGTTGAGGATAAGTATCTTGCTTTCCACAAAAGGATATAATAAGGATTTTCAAGCAACAAGGAAGCCATACAGGCTTCTTTAATCATTGGGCGTGCCATTAATGTGCGTCTCCTCCAGAAGTGCTAAATATAAGATGTATAAACATATATTAAGATAAAAACTGATTATTTAATTTCTCAATAGCAATTAATTGTACATTTTACATACTCACATGATCTCCAGTGCCAGCTAAATGAATGCACACAGGTCTGTGCTTGCTATTCCATCTTCTGGGTATGATGAACTGAAATCTATGAGAAACAAGCAACTATTTTAGCAAAGTAAGTATATCTATTTACAAGCTGCACCACAGAAATTAAGCTAAGGGAAAAAAAGAAGACAGAATATTTTTGTGACCCATACAGACAAACTGCCAGCAATTCAGCAATATCATTTTTCATAAACACATCCAGCAAAGAGAAGAAACCAAAAGTAGGACAGAATAAATGTCAAACAATAAAAGAAGCCAAGCTGAAAGATCATTTTCCTTAAAAAGACCACTACCTCATCATCAGAACTTAAATTCTGCAGAGCAGAAAAATGGAACTTCAGATGAAGAGCAGCCTAAACAACTAGGCAGCATTGCTATTTTTCTCCTGAGGGCACAACAGCCGAAACTGAAGATTAAGATGGGCAATATATTTAATAAAAAACACCAAAAAAAACCCCCCAAAAAACAAAACTCAAAGCATGAAACTATTCTATACACCCAACATGGATCACTTAATTACTTCTGCTGCTACTCAAGTTATTTACAGTCCAACTACTGGGGAAAAAAAAAATAAATCACTTCTAAGCCACTAGTACTTTCCCCACAAGGTGGAGCACTGTTACCTAAAACAGTGCTACACTTCGGAAAAAAATATTCACACAATGCATGATGATCTTAAAAGAAATTTGCAGAGCATTTCAATACTATAGCAATACTGTCCAATATAACAGTTAGGATCACTTGACTGTTAACTGTAAGAAAACACAGATAAAGAAGCAATCTGTATACTGCATTTTTCCAGTATGGTACTAATTAGTCCAATAATGTTAGTAGACCAATGGAGAGGTGGAAGAGAGAGAACTGGTATTTTGACTATAAAACTTTTTCTGACATTCCTTAGTGTGACACCTTTAAGTACACATAAAAACATCAACCAGTAACATTGGTAAGATTGTCAGCTCAAGTTGATACTGTCATTGTCAAAATTTTATATTTAATTTTTCAGTTATTAAACAAAGCTTGGAAAAAAATTAATCAAGAAAGTTTAGCTCAAAACTAAAAGCAAACAGAAATTATACTCCCTTTCCAAATCCACTCCTCAACTGCAAAGTAGTCTTAGCGTCAAACCAGCAAAAATGCCATTAGCTGTCTTCTGATGATCAGCTTTCTGTGAGGATGTCTGGGGGTTTTTTGGCTTGCCTAGTAAGAAAGACACCAGATTCTCTTGCTATAATTACATTAACTTACTGCTTTAGTACACATACAATATTTTTGTATTCAATGTAAATGGAAGGCTGGAATGGTTCCTTCAAATACTATACGAAAGAAAGGTGTTATATTAACAGCTTCTCCTGCTATGTATGAAACTAACAACTACTGTCCTGGCTATAGTATACTTCACTTCCAGCATCCTGCTCATTTCGAAAAAAACAACCAACATCAAATAATTAAAAAAACCCAACAGAGTATTCCACAGCTTTGTGCAATATGATTCCTGCACTCAAAAAAAAAAAATTTTTATACACACATTAAACTATTACAACAATAAGATTTATTTTCACTTCGAAGGTCAAAATCTATTTCAACACATTAGTACAAAAACCAGTTTGAGATATTTTACAGATGATTTGTATTACAATAAATTAGCTTCACAATAAAGCTAATTACAGATCATTCTTATTTCTCTGCAGTACTAGTTTCAGAAAGGAGATACCACTTGGTTTCTCCTACCTTGCCACAAGAGATTCGACTGGCAGGATACCTGGGACATAATGAGCCAACGGGGAAATGAAGTGCCCCTCAAGGATTTTACAGTCAGATTGCTCCTCAACCTACAGAGAGAATGGGATGATAGCAGTATATTAAATTTCATGTCACTGTTTTAACTTGCTCTGAAAGCCAAACACCAGTATGAACTCTTAAAGTAGAAGAATTTGTTGTAGGATAAAAACATAATTTAAAAAAAACCAAAGCTGAGGTGTATTTCAAATACAGAATGTGTATATACACCTGTATCAACACAGTCAAAACATTTGTTTCAAGCTTTCCTTTTATTAAATGACCTATTAAAGGAATCAAGGAATAATCTGTAATGCTGTCCCATTTTAAATAACTTCAATAACGCATGCTAAGTTTTGAGCGTATTTTGAGCTTTACAATCTGACATCCAACCCCCCAGCTATGGTATTGCTGGGAAAAAATAAAATAGTATCTGCAGACCCACTGCTTTATTCTTTCAGTTTCCTTCCATTCTCTGCTAGTAGACTGCTTATTTTCCCATCCCTTCCAACCTCATTTCACATTTTTACCATTGAGATTCCTAATTCTGTCCACAGAAGCCTAATTAAAAAAAAAAAAAACCAAAACAAAACCAAAACAAAACGCCAGCAAACTGTTCAAGTATTTAGCTTGCCACACCATTGACCACCAGTGCATTTACTTTACTTTAGAGCTGCTCTTCATTTCTGACCACCTATTCACACTTTCTAGACTGAAAAGCCTTCAGGGCAATGATTACTTCTGCCTCTATACCTCGCTTGCAAGCACAAGGCCTCCTTTTCACAACCCATATGACACTGGTTTCTTTTGCCTCTACAGCTTCACCACTTATTCCTTCACAGAAAAATTCTAATGCCCTTTTCTTGATACAGAGCAACTGGGAGCACCTGCAAAGTCAGTTAATGCCACCTGTTAGAAGACTGGTGATCAGCAAAAGCTAACTCAATTTTGTCTGAGGTGCATTCATCACCCTATCTCTGTGTACTCCTCAACTTGAGTCCTCAGTTGCCAATCCCAGGAGCAAGTCATACTGTTATAACATCAAATATCAGGAAAAGGTACGTATATGACATCAAGATTCAACTACTCTATCCTGTAAAAACAGCCTGGTAAGTACTAAGTCGATTTTTACGTTTGTACACCATCAGGAAAATAAATTTAGTTAAACTGCATCATCTCTTGCTTTTAAGTACCTTGTCAATGAACACTGGATAATCTTTTGAAACCAGCGTCTGGCATTTTTCCCTGTTTCCAATAATCTTTCTGAATTCAAATATTCTGTTGAAAGGAAACAAATAGAGAAGATTCAACTTATAATCTAAAAAAAAAAAAAGAGAAGATACTATATATAGATAGATGTATATAAATTTGAGGAGCTACAGTAAGCCACAAAGAAAATAAAAGTTATGAACCCAGCTTTGCATTTACAGATTCATCAGGCTACCATAGCATAGGTATGTAATAATGTTTTTAAGTTAAAAAAAAAAAAGTAAAGTATATTGCTTGCAGTTGCACAGCTTTTAAGTAGTATTTTACACCTGATATTTTGAAAACTTCCATCATTTTTCAGGGCCAAATCACACTTGCACATCCCTGTAGCCACATTGGGATGATAGGGACTGAATAAGTGAAGAACAGGCTAGACCGCCAACATCAAAGTGTAGTTGCCAGTGATCTGAGGCCTAGCTGGAAGCAAGTTACTAGCAGCATTTAGTGAAGATCATGAATAACACAAACTGGAAGATGAGCTTGATAGATGGAAAGCTGGGTGAACAGTCAGAGCGACCTGGATGAGCTGGAGGAACAGGTCAACAAATATTCTAAAGCTCAACTAAAACTGCAAAATCTTGCATCTAAGAGAGCATAGCCCCATGAAACAATTCAGGCTAGGAACTTCCCACAGAGGCAGCAGCTCTGCAGGAAAAGCCATGGGATTTTTGGTGGACAGCAAACTGAACACAAGTTAGCAGCACACTTGTACAGCTATGTAGACCAATGGCACATCCTTTGCATTTAACAAGAGGGCAGCCAGAAGGTCAAGAGAACAGAAGGCCAAGGGGCAAACCTAATTGCTTTCTTCTGCTACCTAAATGTGCTGCAGAGTCTTACAGAGATGAAACAAGACTCTTCTCAGAGATATACACTGAGAGAACAAGAGGCAATGGCTGCATGTTGCCACATAAGAAAATTTCTACTGGAACATGGTTAAGGATTTTTTCACAATGGTAGTGGTTAAACACTGGAAAAGATTGCCCAGGGAAAATCATGAATATTCTCCATCCTCAAGGGACTTTCAAAACTCAAATGGATGAGGTGACAAGTGACTTGAGCTATGAAGTTAGCTTTGTTTCAGATAGGGATTTGGACTGGCTCTCAATCTTCAACACTCTATGCTAAGAATAACTTGCTCATTCTGACACGTTGTAAATACACACGAAGATACTACCTGACCAACTAAAACAGCAGACTTGAGTGAAAAATACAGAACAGTAGTATAACGTGACTGATCTGTCCACCTTTCCAACATCAAAGAAAAAGAAACCAAAGGGATGGAAAGAAAATCCAGTTTACCACCACATCAAAAATAGCCCTACTATATATAACCTTTGCTTTTCTTGTGCAGAACAGCAAATGCGTGAAATATTTGAGCAAATAAGGCTAAAGGTATCAGACATGAGTGTAGAAAGTTAGAGATGTTTTATTGACATTAAATCCTCTAAAAATACTGCATTTAAGTATTTCCTCTGCAGTTAGGAGTATACTGAAGGCTATATCTTGTATGTGTTGAGGAATTTTAACTTTTGCTAATGAGTTGAGGACAAAGCATTAGAATATCACCACTCATCACATCAAGGGTGTGCACATAAAACTTCAGATTACATCTAGGCAGGGTGGTCTGTAATATCAGTCAATCTGTTAATGCTTTAAGTATAAGAAATGTAATTACTCCTTCTAATGGATCTGCACAGTGATCAGTTAAAAAAACAAACAAACACTGACACTGTTTCCAGCATGCCAGGGCATGCATCCTAGGGAGTGGTACTCCCTCCTCCCACTAGCCAGTGAATCAGGAGGAGGTGGTATTCTTCCTTCTTGATCCAAGTGAAGCCATGCTGCTGGGGAACAGCTCATCTTCTTCCCATTCAGGGGCAATACACACAACAAATTAACTCACTTCTCAGATCAGCAGACCTCTTATGTGAGAGGTTTTTCTCCCACCCTATGAAAAAGGAAAAGCCATAGCTGATACTATTATTACTAACAGCAATGCTGCTTCATTGCTGTTTAACATTAGTGTAATTACCCTTACAGAACCCATGCAAGAGAAGAAAGAGCATTGCCTAGTATTGCAATAGCTAACAGTAGAATTAGCCAGAAGTTCCCCTGTATAGCAATTGCGCTGGGGGGAGGTGAGGATCAGGGAGTGAAACTTCATCATGTCTCACCAAGAATCTAAATGTTTTTAAGAGAAGATTTTGAAAACATCAAAATGTCCCGTTTCAGATACACACATACACACCAGAATACAGAAATGCTCCAATCAAATCAAAACCCACATTTTTTTTAACTACTCCAACAAAAGTAAACTAAACATTTTTAAAATCCAACATTCTCATTTTGCAGGAAAGTCTGCTACTTAAGATAAAGATCAAGGGAAAAAAGAGATACAAAGCAATCTAAGTACCATTTCAAGATGAGATGTTGTGAAGCTAACCAAGACTTCACTTGGACTTAAAAACAACCCAAGTAACACCACTGGGATCCACAGCAAACAATTTTCTTTCAGTATTTTTAGTCTGAAATTTTCTTTATTGATTTTCAAATACATAAGAAATAGCTTATTAGATGCAGAACATATTCAGTCACTTAATTTTTAAACTTACAAAATGCAACTGCTCAACTTCCAGGTATTACTCTTGAAGATAACTAATAAAAATGAACAAATTAAAAATTTAAAAGGTACTTTCATTGTTTTTAGATGTCTTGAAAATAAGAAAAAAGTTTACTATTTTGGGCTATGAGAGAAACTTCTGACTATATCTCATACTTTCAAAGGTCATTATTACTCAGAAGTTACAGAAAGCTAGCAAGGTCCTCTAATGTTAAAAAGTACAATTCCCCTGCAAAAATTTGCCAAGTTTTATTCTTAGACAACACTTTTCAGAGATGCTGGTTAAAATATGTTATTATACATGCATAAGTGAAAAATGTAATTGGACACACACATACTCTCTCAAAAAGAGCCTCTTTAAACACAAAATATTTAGCAAAACCCATTAAGACTTGTTTAAAATCCAGTTCTTCTCTTGGTATGGAAATACATGATTTCCTGAATAAAACAAACCTAGTACATTTTTTTTTTTTAATACAGGATAGTAACAATTGTCGGTAATTCAAGTGTTGTGTTGTTTGGTGGTTTGTTGTTTGTTTGTTTCTTTTTTTATAAAATGCTCTTCATGCTGTTATTTTTTAACAAGTCACCTTTTCAGATCCTCTGGCTTTCCCCATCCTCTGATGAAAAGTTTAGTGAGGAGAAGCTTTCTGTACAAGACATCTAATTTACTTACACCCATTAGCAGCAAACTGACATCTAGAAAAAAAAACAAACAAGTAAAAGCAAAGACATTAAAGGGGTTAACCTGAGGAACAAGTTCGTTGATTGTAACACAAAGTAGTCTCTTATTCTCGTTTCTGTAGTAATGAAAAGCCATATCGTTTTATTCCAAGGGAGTTAACCTTGACATTCAGGCCAGTTCTTTTCATTTTAAAAAAAATACAAAGGCAGTTAACACAAACTCTAGCTTTTTTAGGAAAATGGAATTTGACATGTCTAATACCAGCATAAATTTACTACATGATCAAAGACAAGCCTACTAATGAAGGCACATAAGGCCACAGGACTACATTCTTCAACCAGTCCTAATTGTATTTCACTTGAACTGATAAAATAAAGAATAGCATTGATCTCTGTCCTGTCAATATAGCTATGATCGCAAAACCTTTTCAGTCAAAATGAGCTTTCATAAACACATCTCAGAATGGAAGCTTGAAACAATATTCGATTTTAAACCACTAGAAGACCATATCTCTAGTTACAAAATTATTCACTTATAAATAGGAAAAAAAAAGTTTCTCCAGTCACTGATACAAAGAAAGCTTATTTTTGTAAGCTTGTCTTCATTGGTGTCTTAAACACACATTCTAACCCTTATTTTGTCCCTTTCTTTCCAATTTTCACCAATTCATCTCTTACCATTTTGAAAACGAAGCTCCCACTCCCTTCAGGAAAGAAATCACACCATCAGAATCCTTACCAGTGTCACTTCTCTTTCAGCAAATACACCAGCTCAAATACAGCGAAAGCCCACAAGATTTTAGGCAAGCTCAGTATTATTTTCAAAGTAATACTTACTAAAGTGAACAGGGAGCCACTACTGTGCTGTTCCAATGATGAAGAAAAAAAAAAAGAAAAGATTACTCAAATCTGGTTTCTTGATCAGCAAGATATAGGTTATTCAATTAAAAAAAATAAAATAAAATAACCCAAAGTCCTGGATCTGCATGCACCTAAGAAAAGAACAGATTTAATAATCAAAGATCTGGTCAGTAAATTACTGTCAACTGTTTTCTAGTATTTCCAGACCCCTCTGTACTAAATAATCTAAATTATCTAAATAATTTCATAACACTCCAAAATAGTGTAATTTATTTCATGGCAGGGGGGTGAGGGGTGTTCTTTATTTCAATCCAAAGTTCATTTATTCTGCCACACTTTAATACAGTCATTCTTAAAATAAACTTGTCTAAATATAATAAATTAAAACTGTGATCAGATTAATAAATACTTTCACTTCTAAAAAGCCAATACTTAAGAGTCTATATACAGGGAAAAAAAATGCTTTAACACCTAGAGTAAGTTACTACCAAAATAGAAATTATAGGCAACTTAAGGTACTTGAAATATTAGAACAAGCATTCTAGAAAAACCACAATGGTTCTACATTCAGTCATTACTGGACAGAAATACCAGAAATCACCAAAAAATCAAAGTGAGGACCTTCTATTTTAACACTGTAGTGTTTACTACACCAGTCCCAAACAGCTGTGTAATCCTCTTATTCTGATCTATATCTGCTTGTTATAACACAATCGCAACCTCAATACAATCTTTTTCCTTGCTCAATCTGGAGATATCCATTGACGTCACATGCTGTTGGGCTGTCAGACAGGAAATGTTTGCCAGCTTCTGCAAGGTCCCTCCTCTGGTTTTTGGAGCAGGGAGACAGCTGTGTATTATCTTGGTGCTAGAAGAGAACTGGGTGGCAGAGAGACTGACAGCAATACAGAGTGGATCCCTCTATGGGTTGGAAAAACAGTTCAGAGTAAATCTACACAAGATTACATATATGTTGTCAAAAATGCACTAAAACTAGATTTGCAGTTCTATCTGTATACTGTTTACCAATAATTGTAAAAAAAAAAGAAAAAACAACAAACCCAAAAAACCCAAACAAAAAAAACCAACCCCACAAACCCAAAAACTGTAGTGAAGCAGCCTTGCACGTTCTGGTTTGGGGTTTTTTTGTTTTCTTTTGGGTTTTGTTGTTGTTAATTTTTTTCTTAATCCTCTCCAATATAAAAGCCAAATAAGAGAGAAAACATGGAGATATTGATTGTGCTTTGAGCTCGAAGTCTGACGTGATCAGCTTTACCCTGTTGCACCAAGGGAACGCCAAAACGAGTTTCTAGACAAGTACATTATATTTAAATGCAACATTGATTGAGGTGAAAGGGTTGTGTCATCTTGTCTTCTATTTCATTGATTGAATAAAGACTCAAAAGCAATTCAGGATATTTCAATTAATCAGGTTCAAGATTAAACCACTACTGGAAAGAGAACAGAAAACATTAAAAAAATATCCCAAATACTTGAACGATGTTGTATAGGACTTCTCAGAAATATTACTGAGACAAAATAAGGGTAATTCTCTCATTTTGTTTATTACAAAGATTGTTATCTTTGTAACAAATGGGTAGGACATGCTTCAGTCACTGCCCATCAATGTCTACATGGAAAAGCAATTACAAATACTGTTAGGAAGGGCAAATCCAGCTGCTGGAGGCAGAATATGTGTAACTTCAAAGTAGAAATAAAAAGTATAATTTAGCAGTGAGAGTTTGAACTTCTTTGGAAGAGACCCAGCAGAGCTTGTTTTGGAACATGACTGGATTTCCACCACTTGATACCGCACCTGTCACATCACAATCCCTTTGTAAACAGGCCAGCTGAATGCAGTGATCTGATAAAGATGCTGCATAATTGTGTAGACCAAGAAACAGTACCTGTGTTATGAATATTCAAGGAGTATATTGCTGACATAGTAAGCTTTACATCTTGTAAGTTGTGAACAGAAATTATAACAGACGGAAAGGCATATTAAGAAATAATCCACAAAAACCCAATATATTTAAAAATAATATTTTCCAGAAAAGAAGACAAAGAAACCTAGAAGTAACTTGTAGGCTACGCTTTTGCTGTAGAAAGAGTTTTTCTTTGCTTTCAGAACCCTCACAGTAGCTATGCATTTTTGGTGTGCACTCTTACTTCATAGAGACAGACACAAAAAGCCAACCAAAATTCAACACACAAAAGGTCAACCATTCCTTCTTATCCAGTGCATGCAGCCTCAGTTACAAGAGAAACACCACTAGAAAGTACATGAAGACTTTGTTACAGGCCCAGACTACTGCTTCTATACATGAATGTGAAATTGCTCCCCAAGAATATATATCTGTTTTTAAAAGCCTTACTGAGAGTTAACTTTTCCCTGTAGTATTACTTAAAAAAACCCAAACAAAAAAAAAACACAAAAAACTCTCTTCCAATTAATATCAGGTCATGCTTTTTTTTCCCTTCTTTTCCTCAAATAGAAGAAAGCAAGCTAAAAAAAAGTCATTAAGAAGTCTCAGCGACGATTCAGAAACAAGCCCCACAATAATTTCACATCGTGGATATAAAAGAGAACCCTAAGCCAAAAGCAGTCCACCAACTGCCCCCCCCGCCGCTGCCTACCTGCCTTTCCTCCACTCGCTCTTTATTTGGTGACCAGCGGACGGCAACCCGTCACGGGCGAGGCCGCCTCAGGTGACGGCGGAGAGGTGCCCGCAACGCTCCCCGGGGCCAACAGAGCGGGGAAGGAAAAGCCCCAGCACGGCACACCTCCTCAGCTGAGAGCCACACGGAAACCCCCCGCTTCTCCCCGGGCGGGAAGGACCCGCGGAACCCTTCCCATCTCC